AGGATAGGGAAAAAGCACCAATAAATTGAACTCTAAAGCAACAAAATGTATGCTTTTAAGAACAGGTTACAAACACAAGATAACAGTTAAGTACATTTCTGCTATTAAACATACACAAATTCTTTGTGACTCAGTAAAGCTGTTGCAGCATAGAGTGGACTCAGGGGAGAGGGGTGTGGAGAAGAAAAATGTGCTTGGGTGTCTAATGTTTACATTCTGTTTGATTAGCCAAAACAAGAATTTGGTTTTCACTTCTTATAAAGATTAATTGTATTTTTTATTACCCCAGCAAGTGTTACACTACAGAAACTGATCCCAAGAAAACAGTTTCTAAAACTCAGAAGGAATTTCACTGATTACTAGTAATAATTCAGTTTCTGTTCACAAATGCTGGAATTCTCTCTTATTCCAAACTAACAGTTCAGTCAGCGAGGGCCAGGAAGCCTCAGCTCCTCAACTGTCACACACAGACAGACAAACAGCAAACCTGGCACTCCTGCACAAAGGGAACAGACACGTCAGGGTACCTACTAGAAAAGCTGGCATAAAAGACGCACCTTTTTTTACATATGAATACCAGGGGACTTGGAGTTTATGGTCCAAGCCACCACCATGCAACTAATAAAATCCAAAAGTACCAGTAAGCATTCAGAGATGACCACACACATAGTTGGGCTACAGGTACACAGAGACCTGGCAAAAGGGGATGCCCACATCGTGAAAGACCAAGACATAATACTCAAGACGAGTGACTAACTAGCTATGGCCATGAGATAATGCAAGATTGTTTGTTGTTCAGTAACTGGACACGTAATAAATGAATAATCTGCTTAAGCGGAATTGTGCGGTAGTCTATGCATTTAATTGGAGGATCCAAAAGAACAGTCAGAAGAATATTTATAATACAAAAAAGACATTATATATACATATACACACACATTGAATATACCTATATATCTATAGATATATGAAAATCAGTAAACAAATAATGCCTTTATCAAGACCATCTTAAGGCATTCAAACATTTTACTATGACATTGACCCAGTCTATTATCTTTTTGCTTTGGCTGAATTAAAGCAAACAGATTAAAGGTCTCATCTGAAACATCAAAGACACCTGAAACCAAAGCCTAATAGTATCTGGGGTGACAGCAGCATCATCTAAGAACCCCCCCACTGCACTGCCTATTAGCTGAATAATATTAAAAGGAGTCTAAATAAATCATTCCCACTCACAGCTTTGCAACAGCAGAAGATACATCAGCCTCAGAGACTTTCTAGCCATATATTCTATAGATTCTATTACAAACCGAGGATGGAAAAGATACAGCAAGAGGGCCTGCCCTAGGATAGGATGCCACTGAATATCAAATAGTATTTACAGTACAGTTATGGGATTATAGAACATTTTATAAATACAATTGATATGTGTACAAGGGCACATAAAAGAGAAATTTATTTTCTTGCTTTACAAAGAGAAAGTAACCTTAACTTAAACTTACTGCAGAGTTCCACAGCTGCTGGTTAGGAGCCTCTCTTCTCAACTGCCTGTACAAACCAATCCCCATCACAAGCCACCAGTGAAACACCCATGTTTTAAGCAGCAGCTATGAAGAATCTCAATAGACTCTGAATCTATGTATGAAACATGAAGTTTCCAAACATGGGTAAGGCAGAGCAAGTTGGAGAGTTGTGACAACATTCCCCTGTTAACTTTCTCAGAGAACTTGGACTGCAACACACGCCATTTTTGCAAGGCAATATATAATACTGCAGCAAAGAGGTGGCAAAATTAATACAAAGTACATTACAACTTCTAACACAAGATAACAGAAAATGCCAGAAGCATCTACCCAATTCTCAAGATGTGAGCTCTTCTATATTTGTTTTAAATGGTAATATTTAATATTTCATTACTTGCATATGTCCTTAAAATACAGTAACTTCCTTTAATAAAAGCAACTGGTGTTGCTTGTATAGAACCATGGTGCCTTTACAAACTCTTTAACAGATTGGCTAAAGACCAGCTACAGCATTAAACATGAACATAATACAATGCAGGCAGAGGAGAAATATATTCAGATAAAAAGGCAATTTTAACGTCAATTTAATGAAGGATTGACATTATTTTCTCTGCACACTTCACAAATGGTAAGGTAAACTTGATTAAATTACCTTCAACAAGTAATATATTATACTTTACTCCAAGACAAGTAAACCAGTTTTACTGGGATACTCACTATGAAGGAAGATGATTTTTAAAGGTTTATTTACATGGAAATATTTTACATAATATATAAAATGGAGTAGTAATACACTGCAGCCATTTTATAATATATAAGCTAAATGAAATGAATCTTTTAAACTATTCTATTTCAACAGCTGTGGAACAAGCAGACAGAACACAAATTGTTCTATTAAGCTAAAAACCCATTTTCATTATAGAAATAACTACCTGCTTGAGAAAATAAAGCAATTTTTCATAACTATCTTTAACCACAACAATCGCTTCACAGTCGAGGGGTGAACTTCCACAAATGTTTTCTCCTCTGACAAAGTCTAAGACATTTCCCCACTACCAACCCTCTTCAGTGCAGTTCACTCCTTCCTCAGTTATACCAACAGAAGTAACTTTTTGGACCACACTAAAAACTGGATCACTCAAAATGAACATGCTTCCAAGAAACCTCTAAAAGCTGAACACCACCAAGCAGTTTCTTCACAGACAATATTCAGCACAGTGCTACAGAGAGTGGCACTGGCACAAAGGGAGACACTGAACTGGAGCACAGAAAGGGATCGAATGGCCAGAAGTGCACAAGAATTTCTTAAACCAGCTTGATAGGAAAAGTAAGCTAGTAATTGGTGTTTGCTGAGAGAACAGCTAACAAACACCAATTTCATGATGGTTAGATGATCACAATGCCAGTGCAATGGCACAAATAATAATTTAAAAAAGTAGTAATGCTTACAGGCACTTTATTAATTATCCATTGGAATTCAATTCCAAGGAGGAGGAAATGTTTTAAAAGACATGAAGTTTACTAAAAATAGTGCATTTTCGTTACCATTGTGTTAGCTTCAGAAGAAAGGAGGGGAGATGAACCATAATTTTTTCTGCCTCTCACCTGTATCTCTTGGTGCTGCCCCAGGGAAGCTGCTCAGAGAGCTGCCCCCCTCCCTGCTCCCAGTAACCTTGACAAGCTCAGCACCCTTCCACCATGAGACCAAGGGGATGCCTGCTCACCTGCTGTGGGAAATTATGAACAGTCATGCAGAAGGTAGCAGATACAGTCCTAAGTTCTTAATTCTGTTCTGCATATGGCTGTGAAAGACAGACCACTGAAACTGTACTGATGGCTCAGATGGACTGGTGCATGACATTTCTCAGTTAGTGTAACTAGGAGGAAAACTGTTAAAGCCAAGTGAAACTGGTCTCCATAGTAAGTCTCAAAAGCCATATTTTACAATATTTTCCCATTACTATCTCAAACATATAATAAACGATTAAAATTTATTTTTCAAACTAAAAATTCCAACTAAAGCAGAACTGTACACATTTTCCAGTTTGAAGTCAGAAAATGAAACTAGATTTCACAAGGTGTTTTTCCTAAAGACCTTTTCCTCTCATAACTAAGGAGAATTGACAGACAGGAGACAATTAAGTTGTTTCTGAATGCACAGTCCTTCTGCACTAAGAGTACCAGTCACATGCTACAGCATTACTAATGTCAAATCCAATTATTTAATAAAATGCTAGATCTCATGCTTTATCACTTTACAATCATAAAGACTGACACTTTCTTGTTCCAAAGCTGAGAACTATACTACTACCACAGCAGCTGGAAACACCTCACCAGATAGATGGCTCAGTTTTTCAACACTGTGAACAATTAGGCTAAATACAGCGTGAAGGGAGAGGTACAGCAGCCTTTTTTTGTTGTTGTTGTTTTTTTGTGGTTTTTTTTTTAACTCTCCCTCTTCAGAAATGTATCAGAGAGCTTTATTAGTGTAAAGCAGGTTTTCTGTTTGGTCAACACAAGCAAGCACTGTCATTAACATTTTCGAAGCAGAGATTTGTTTTCTAAA